ACCCCCAGAGATAATTCAAGCCAAAACTCAGGCACCGGCGAAATTCTGCATTGAAGGTAAGATTTTCACCTTCACTGAATCGATTTTCAATAAGAAAATCTGCGTTACTGAAAAATGTTGGAAAAAAAGCTTCAACATATGGTTAGGGTTGGACACATGTTCTTGGCTCTTAGAGGCGCTTCAGTCTCTTACAATTGAAAGAGGTCTGCGTACATCCTACCGAAGAGAGAAGAGGAGACTGCTCACCATTTCTTTTCACTCCTACAGATTTGGTAACCATCTCAAAATCTGTGAGCATCACCAAGACGGCAAGACCTGGATTCTCATCCCGGAAGGTAATCAAGGTTCTGGGATTACTTCTTTCATCTCCTGCTTTAAGAAAATTTATGTCAACTTGAGGTCCTCTATTCCCCATCCCCCTCCTTTTGTTGACAATGCCTTAGTTTGTGCTTGGACTCAACCTTCTCCTCAACAATCTTCAAACTCCATCTCTGCCACTTTACTTAAATTGGAATTTTCAGAGAGTCTGCACCACCCTCCTCATGGCCCTCCAATTACCCCTGCAACCACAAAGCAGTCAACACTACAAGGCACCCTTTCTGCTTCAGCCCCAGCTTTCACCCCTCAAAGACTCGTCACTACACCAGGCCAAACTCTTGATATGGCCTGTGCAAAACCTCTTCATTTCCAGGGATGTTCTAATTCAGACAATGATTTGGACAGCCCTCCTTGGGGCAAAAACCTAGGTTACATCTCCGGGCCTGAAATTAATCCTTTGGACAACCAGAAAAAACTTCCCTCAAATGTTTCTGAAGATGAATGGGTAACGGACAGAGGCTCAGATGATGATGAAGACTGGCACGCCTATAAAGAGGTCAACAAGAAAAAAAAACCTTAAGAAATTTGACCAATTATGTTTGCAATTCAAGGATAGTCCCCATCCAAGAAGAAGTAAGAGGTTAACAGAACTTAAAGCCAAGCGTGTTTGGGAACAAATTTGATTGGTGAGAATGCTGTCAAGATTTTCTCCTCATGATGTTCACCCTCTTCCTTAATCCAGTGCTGCAGGTCGTTATCAGGTTA